TGCATTATGACTCTGTCTCGAGCTTTCTCACACTTCCATCATAATTAACTTCACTCGGATTGTCACAAATTATATAAACTCTGCTGACGTAGTTTAAGTGAACAAGACACAACCATACTCTTGGTTAACGAGCTGGTTTAAGTAGACTAACAATCTTAACTGCAGTGCTTAGTAGATTTATCTGTTTTTCGCATTTTAGTTCAATTTTCACAATACAGTTACATCGGTTAATTTTGAAAAGTTATCACAAACACCTACATATAGTAACCACATTTTCATGGTTGCTGGTAGATTACAGAGTAGTCAGTGGACATGTAACGTGGCTATACTGATGGTATGCTGTATTTTGTTTCTACTTCCTCTCCCTTCTTCTTTTTCTTCTTCTTCTCCTTCTCCTTCTTTTTCTTTTTCTTCTCTTCTTCATTCTTTCTTCCCTTCTTCATTCTTTCTTCCCTCATTCCCCTCTCTCTCTCCTTCTCTATCCCCCACCTCACCCTTCCTTCCTTCCTGACCTCCTCCTCTTCCCTCTCTCTCCTTCCCTCTTTTCTCATTCTTCCCCCTCTTCCCTCTACACTCAACCTCGCCTTCTCCCTGTTTCTCTCTCCCATCTCCCTTTCTTCCCTTAACCCCCCTTCCCCTCCTTCCCTCTGCTATCTTTTCTTCATTTTCTCCTCTTCCTTCTTCCTTCTCTCCCTTTCCCCTCCATCCCTCTCCTATCTTCTCTTCTTCCTCCTTCCTTCTCTCCCTTTCCCTTCCTTCCCTATGCTATCTTCTCTCTTTCATTCTCTCCTCTTACTTCTCCCTTCCCTCCCCTTCCCCTCCATTCCTCTCCTATCTTCTCTATTTCCTTCTTCCTTCTCCCCTCTTCCTCCTTCCTTCCTCCTTCTCTCCCTTTCCCTTCCTCCCCTCTGCTATCTTCTCTCCTTCCTTCTTCCTTCTCTCTCCTATCTCCTCTGCTTCATTCTTCCTTCTCTCCCCTTCCTTCTTCCTTCTCTCTCCTATCTCCTCTGCTTCCTTCTTCCTTCTCTCCCTTTCCCTTCCTTCCCTCTGCTATCTTCTCTTCTTCCTCCTTCCTTCTCTCCTCTTCCTCCTTCCTTCTCTCCTCTTCCTCCTTCCTTCTCTTCTCTTCCTCCTTCCTTCTCTCCTCTTCCTCCTTCCTTCTCTTCTCTTCCTCCTTCCTTCTCTCCTCTTCCTCCTTCCTTCTCTCCTCTTCCTCCTTCCTCCTCTCCTCTTCCTCCTCCTTCCTTCTCCCCTCTTCTTCCTTCCTCCTCTCTTCTTCCTCCTTCCTCCTTCCCTCCTCTTCTTCCTCCTTCCTCCTCTCCTCTTCCTCCTTCCTTCTCTCCTCTTCCTCCTTCCTTCTCTCCACTTCCTCCTCTCCTCTTCCTCCCTCCTCCCTTCTCTCCTCTTCCTCCTCCTTTCTCTCCTCTTCCTCCTTCCTCCTCCTCTCCTCTTCCTTCCTCCTTCCTTATCCCCTCTTCCTCCTTCCTCCTTCTCTCCTCTTCCTCCTTCTCTCCTTCTCTCCTCTTCCTCCTTCCTTCTCTCCTCTTCTTCCTCCTTCTCTCCACTTCCTCCTTCCTTCTCTCCTCTTCCTCCTTCCTTCTCTCCTTTTCCTCCTTCCTTCTCTCCTCTTCCTCCTTCCTCCTTCTCTCCTTCTTCCTCCTTCTCTCCTTCTTCCTTCCTCCTTCCCTCCTCTTCTTCCTCCTTCCTCCTCTCCTCTTCCTCCTTCCTCCTTCTCTCCTCTTCCTCCTTCCTTCTCTCCTCTTCCCCTCACCTGCTTCCCCATCCCGTGTGGACGAAGACGACGACCCCGTCTGGGAGTGGTCCGTGGTCGTCCAGCCAGGCCATGAGGTCATCGGAGGTCAGTTCTGCCGTTGGGTCGTTCTCTGCTTTCTCTCGGATGTCGATCTTGACTCCTGTGTGTGTGTGAGGGGGGGGGATGGGAAAGGGGTAAAGGGATGGGGAGGAGGGAGGGAGGGGGAGGAGGGAGGGGAAGGGGAGAAACGAGGGACGGAAGGAGGGAAGGGAGGGGAGGGGAGGGAAAGGGGAGAAAGGGAGGAGGGAAGGGAAGGGGAGGGGAAGAGGGAAGGGGTGAGGTGAGGAGGGAAGGGAAGGAGGAGGGAAAGGGAGGAGGGGGTAAAAGGGGAAGGGAAGAGGAGGAGGGAAAGGGAGGAAGGGAAGGGAAATGGAGAAAGGAGGGAGGGAAGGGACGGGGAGAAAGGGAGGAGGGAAAAGAACGGGGAAAGGGATGGGGAGGGGAGGGAGGAAGGAAGGGGAGGGGAGGAGGGAAAGGGAAAGGGAAGAAGGAGGGGCGGAAATGAAAGAGGGAAGGGAAGAAGGGAGGAGAGGTGTAAAGTGATTTAAAAGGTGGGTAAAGGGTAAAGGGGGGAGGGGAGGGGGCAGAGGGGGGTGTAAATGGATTGAGATGCGGGGGGGGGGGAGAGAAGACGAATGGGAAGGAAGAAAATATATATTAATAATGTCACAATAATTGCTCATTTAC